ATCTAAAATAAGATGATTTATCCCAATTTCAAAAATTCAGTGCTTCTAGAAAAATTATCTGCCTCTGTGAAATCTCAGCTACAGTTTATCCACAGGAGAGCCACTCTTTTTGCACGTTTTTGTTGTCAAAAGAGTAAAATAATCAAGATTTCCCCTTTAAAGCAGTGCTAAAAATATTTCTATACATGTCCTTGTATTACCAGCAGAAGGACAATCATATGGTCGATTTAGGTGTGTGCTCCCAGTTTTCATAAAGACATACCAGGCAGTTCTCAGGTTCTTGTGAGTATATAAATCTCTTCCTCCCACACACTTTGTCATCACAAAAGTAACTTGAGAAAACATTGCTGTGAGCAAAAGCGATAAGAATCAAAGCATGGTTAACCCAGATGAGTCTTGTTTGCCCAATCATAGTCGAAATCCTGGCAATCAGATTATACCACAGAGACAAGGGGATACAGAAAGGCTAATATGTATGTAAACAAAGTTGATTGATTTCATTAGAATGGATGGAACACTACATAATCGAGTTCTGAAATGCTGTTTCTCCCTGTGTCATCTTTGGGAATAAAAAAGAAACTTACTGAGTCTGCTGTGACATGGCACAGTAGTTAAAACTGCAGTCAAACCTTTGCTGATGACTTGAGTTTGAAACCAACAGATTCAGGTAGCCTCCATCTTTCGAAAGTTGTTAAAATGAATTCCTAGCTTGGTGGGTGTCTGTGTGTGTATGTCAAAATGTTCCTTGCATAATTACATTGTAAACTGTCCAGGGAGTGCTGTAGTACTATGGAGTGGTGTATAAGTCAAAACAACAATTAAATAATTCCAGTAAAGAAATTTGATTAGATAATTTTTATATATCTGCTGGCTGAACATTATACCGTAATGTAACTGAAAATCCCTCCTGTTACATTTTTAGCTATTTGATATATATAGTCTGTGCTTTTCTGCCAAAAATTGACAAAGAAGATTTTTTGTAATTGTTTTAAGGATGAAATGTCAAACATTGGGAACCTCCAAATGCTAAGCAGCTAAGACAGCATTGAGGCTTATTAATGTCGGAGGGTGAAGGAAGGCTTGGATGATATTTACACAAGGAACAAAGTGTGATGGGAGTTTCTGCCATGTGCCCGTGAGTGGGAGAGGGTTGCGTCTTGGAGCAGCTTGTGTGTTTCATTTTTGGTTGTTGTTTAGTCGTTAAGTCGTGTCCAACTCTTCGTGACCACATGGATCAGAGCGCGCCAGGCCCTCCTGTCTTCCACTGCCTCCCAGAGTTTGGTTAAATTCATGTTGGTTGCTTCGATGACACTGTCCAACCATCTCATTCTTTGTTGTCGCCTTCTCCTCTTGCCTTCTCTCTGTCCCAACATCAGGGTCTTTTCCAGGGAGTCTTCTCTGTGTGTTTCATAAATGGTAGTAAATAAATGTGCTGTGTAATACCCAGCTTGCTCACAGGATACTGTGGTAAATTTCAGTATAGATTTGGGCGTGAGATTTAATGTGGTGCAGTGGTCAGAGTGTTGATAGGAAGGCTTGGGGGATGGGGATTCAATCCCACACTTGGCTATGAATTTATTGGGTTGGCCATAGTCACTGAGTCTGACCCAGCTCACAGCGCAGTTTTAAGGATAAAATGTGGAAGAACCGCCTGCATTGCCTTAAATAGATGGGGAAAGAGGCAGAGTATAAAACAGATAAATAGGCTATGCTTGGTCATAATCTCTGGACTAGACAAGCCTTTATTCTGATCCAGCATTACTCTTAGATTCTTAAAATGATATCCAAGTGCTATAAGAGTGGTTGTTTGAATGAAGAAAATAATCCCATATATTAGGACAATTGTATATTAATGATTGACATTGTTTGTAGAATAAAAACATTTGATGGCCCCTTAGTATTAAGTAAAGCATACATACAAACCTAAATGATATTAAGCTTGGAAATAGCTATTTTCATGGTTTCTTTTGAAAGTAGGATTCAGCATTTTATAGTCAGACAGAGAGGCTTTCAAAAACTGGAGCGCTTATTCCTTCCTATACATTATGACCCCCACATCCATAGGGGATTGGTTTTGCAATCTACCGTGGATGCCTGAAACCACAGATACGAGGAAACACTGTACAATGTAGAAGGGAGTGGGACAAAGGTCACAAGGGAGTGCTCTTGTATATAGGGCTGCGGGAAACCTCAGATTCCAATCCTGCAGATATGGGGGCCCTATTGTGCGCACGCCCTAGTATACCATACACAACTAACATAATGGTCCTCTGACTAGTTCAGCACTAAAAAATACCTGTGGATCAGTAATTTTGTGGAGAATTTCTGGAACATTTTTAATATATGAAAGGTTGCATCGTGGTTATGGCTGTCCACATTGATCCTTTGTCATTTAATAATTCAGAAAATCCATAACTGCAATGTAGGTCTTGGATGCAATATAGATTAGTTAGGTCTGATAGAGTGTAGCTAACATAAAGATGATGAGTTTGGATGCTTCTAAGCTGTTGTCTTAAAGATAATCCTCAGAGAGATGTTCAGAGTGAAGCTCAAATAACGCCAAGAGATTTCACTTGAAGGAGGATCAGCAGCTAGTCTGTGCACCTAAAAGTGCAAGATGGTCAAGGTCTCAAAAGGACAGATCCAGCCAAGACACTTCTCTATTGTTTCTGCAAAGTGCTATAAATATGTTGCTCTGTTCAGCAGCATGAGTTATTTCTTTACTAGCAGAAGTACCCAGCTTTGCACAGGTTACAAATAATTTCCACCCATCCTACCCCCAGTGCACTTTTCCTCCCTTCTGAAGGATTTGGGGGCATTGTGACGGGAAGCATCAGTTGCATCTGACATTTACTGACAACTGGCCCTTGTGAGGTGGAGCAATGAATGCATCAATCTTAACTGTAAGTTTCTGCAGTCTAGTGATTAAGGATGGCACAGCAAACTGTTTATTGATATTCCATCTTTCTGCAGAACTGGGACCAAAGCAGGTACAAATAACTCTGATTTAACTAGCATCAATTAAACAAACTATATTTTAAAAAACCCACTAAAGTGCACACCTCTAGCAGCTTCTTAATAAACATGCCATATTTCCGGTGTGGGTTTTATAACCTTGGAGCTGTAGAAGTGACAGGCACATGTGGGGGGACACATTCTTTTATTTGTATAAATTACAGTATACTTTTTTGGGTATGTGCTCAGAACTAACCACACTGATTCAGTAGAACTTTCTACTAGGTATGTGTGTGAATAACGGAGTCCTGGATTGATTATATTCTCTTTCTAACTTTGTTTTTAATTTGATGAGTTAGTGATATTGATGTGAAATGTATTGATGGTGATGGGCTAGTAGTTTTAGGCCTGCTTATTGTTTTGCAGTATAATCTTATACTTTTTTTGCCTTATGGGTATAGAAATGATCCATGTTGGGCAGGGTTAACATCTTCAAATGAGTCTTAGTACTGATGAAGTCACTGAGAAAGGGAGTTTGCCAGTCAGAAGCTTAGAGCGATCATCTAGCATGTCAGTAAACCCATGATATAGGAGACCTCTGTGTTCTGAACCTAGGATAGAAGATTTTGAAAGTTTAATGTGATATTCACATTTTCATCAAGTGTCTAATATTTTACAGTAAGGTCCTTATTCTGCATTCTTATTGGGACATAGTTGCCTTGGCTTTTTGACCAAGTATAAAGATGCAGATTAAGCTTGCAGACTTGGACCTCTGCTGAAGACTTCCTGGATTAATTTGACAGGTTACTAGTGTGTTGAAACTAGGGGATGTGGCATTGCTGCGGGTTAAACTGCAGAAGCCTCTGTGCTGCAAGGTCAGAAGACCAGCTGTCGTAAGATCGAATCCACGCAACACAGTGAGCTCCTGTCGCTTGTCCCAGCTCCTGCCAACCTAGGTGTTGGAAAGCATGTAAAAATACAAGTAGATAAATGGGTACCACCTTGGTGGGAGGGTTGCGTTAAGCGAGGCACCACTGTAAATGGGTACCACCTCAGTGGGAGGGTCGTGGCATTCCGTGTCTAATCACGCTGGCCACGTGACCACAGAAACTGTCTGTGGACAAATGCTGGCTCTATGGCTTGGAGACGGGGATGAGCACTGCACCCTAGAGTCAGACACGACTGGACTAAATGTCAAGGGGAACCTTTTATCTGTGGTGAAACTGAAGAATGATGGCTGCATTTATGAAACTATTTTCAAACTCTGTTTTCAGAGTGTGGTTTCTTCCAAACCTGATAACCATCATTTTCTGGTTTAGATGTAATGGGAAGACATAATTCACCAAAGCAGCAAGGACAGCAATGAGGGGTTTAGCATGTGGAGTCTATTGACAAATTTTATATTTGTCAATAAAGAGTTAAACATTTAGAGTTGTGATATTGGGGATAATATTACAACTGAGAAAAAAACATTCTATGCCAGTGTTTTGTTTTTTATTTGTTTGTTTTTTTAATTATCTGACTGGGCTGTTCAGGGCTTCAGACAGGATTGTACCCAAGAAATGTTGGGGATGGAGGCTGGGACCTTCTGTATGCAGAGTATGTGTTCTAACAGTGAGCTAATACCCCTCTCCACTATATGCATCATTATTGCAATCAGCAATGTTGTATTTGCTCTGCCTGTGTTAAAACTTAACCTGAATGCATTTTTTATTACAGTGGCGAAAAAAGGGGTGGGTGGGTTACATCTGTTATGTGAGCATTTGGAGGGCCGTTATCTCTATCTAACTATGTCATAATATACAGTTACAACTCCGGAATGTTTGACCTGTTCCAAGTATTCCAAATATTTATGTTGGAATTGTATTTGTTGGGCCTCTTTCTGGAGATAATTGACTGTGTAATGATACCTTCCTACCTGGATAGCTGAAGCTTAAATCTAAACCGTTCAGAAGAACATTGCAGCTTGGGCAGAGTGGTTCCTTTGGGCCTTTTGTGAATAGGTATTGCCAGAACAGTATGTTTTAATTTTTTTCCCCCTGAAGGTATCCTTCACGCATTGAGAAAATAGACTATGAAGAGGGGAGGATGCTTGTCCACTTTGAGCGCTGGAGTCATCGTTATGATGAATGGATTTACTGGGACAGCAATCGGTTGCGCCCCCTTGAACGGCCATCACTGAGGAAAGAAGGTCTAAAAGATGATGATGAGTTTATTGTAAGTGTGTGGGTTATAATTGTAAGCATGCATGGAAGCTAAATCCTTAGAAATAGATGTTGCTTTCGCAAACATATATACAGATATTAAAGGTTGATCCTTGAATAAATTTTCAGTCACATTAACTCGATAATATTCCTTTAATAAAACAGGATTTTAAACCTGGAGAAGAAGTTCTGGCTCGTTGGACAGATTGTCGATATTATCCTGCAAAGATAGAAGCGATTAACAAAGAAGGTATGTTTTAACTGTTGAACACAAGATTTAGGCTAAGGTGCATCTAGCCCAGTGTTATTTTTCTGACAGCAGCCAGGTGGATGCCTTTGAGAAATTCATAAACAGAAAACAAATGGAACAGCTTTCTCTTATTTTTAATCCCATCATCCTGTGTTTGAAGTTTGACTGCCTACAGATACAGTGGTGCCTCGCAAGACAAATACCTTGCAGGTCAAAAATCTCGCAAGACAAATGGTTTTGGCAATTGGGAAGGGGGGGTTGATGACTTGCAAGACAAATGTTTCTATGGCTGTGCTTCACAAAAAGAATGTTTTCCGTTTTTTGTTCCTCCCTCATGTTTTGCTGATTTTTAAATCTTTTTCTATGATGTATAAAAAAGTTTTTTGATTGAAAATTTTAAAATCATCTGCATATGTATGGCTTTAAAGAGCACTTAATAAATACTTTGTAAACCAAATTTGACTTTGTTCTGACTTTTATTTGCCCATAGGAATGCATTAATTAGATTTCAATGCACTCCTATGGGAAAACGCATTTCTCAAGACAAATTTTTCACAAGAAAACATTAACTGCGTAACGAATTAAATTCGTTTTGCGAGGCACCACTGTACAGAGTTTCTGTTTTATCCTAACAGTGGTAGATAAGTACATCATTTGTAATATACAAAAAGTACATATGATGTTGATATACTTACCACAGTGTCATTTTTTTCCCAGGAACCTTCACTGTACAGTTTTATGATGGAGTGATTCGTTGTCTTAAAAAAATGCATATCAAATCCATGCCAGAAGATGCCAAAGGGCAGGTAAGTGAAGTTCTATCTTTCATATTAAGCTGTGTCTTTTAGATTAGGCATGGGTAAAGTGTTGGACTGTAGCTGCCCTAGCCAGCAAAGACTGTGGTGAGGAATGCTGGGAGTTGCAGTCCGACAACACACTTTGTCCGTTCCTGTCTGGATTCTAAATGAATCGGCTCAGAGTAGTTACAGTATCAGGTTCATTATTGGTATTTACTTGTGTTTTCCCACTGCAGACTATGGGCAATGTGTCCCTCTCTAACAACTTCTGTTAATCATTCTGTGGTTAAAACATCTAAGGGGTAAAATAATCTTTTAGAGCAAAATCGTTCTTTTGTTGCTTTCTGTGTATTTTTTGCCGTGCAAAAAATGTTGTCCAGCTTTAACCAGAGGTATAAGCATTCCCCTGTTGAGAAATTCCTGGTAGTATACCGTTTTTTTTCTCCACAAATGTCCCCTGTTGAGAAATTCCTGGTAGTATACATTTTTGTTCTCAACAAATGAGAACAAAACGCATTAGGGCTTATTTTCAGGGGATGTTTTATTTAATGTACAACAATTACGTTTATTCAAATACAATCATGCCATCTTCTGGTAGCTTTCAAATACAATTATGTCATCTTCTTCTGGTAGCTTCACAAGGGTGGAAGGCGGGGTTTCACTTAACTGGGGCTTATTTTTGGGGTAGGGCTTATATTACGAGCACCCTGAAAAATCATACTAGAGCTTATTTTCAGGTTAGGTCTTATTTTCGGGGAAACAGGGTACACTTTTCCTTGCATGTTTACAAAACAGACCATTTTCAGACATGGTGAGCAGATGGCAGAGGCATATTCTGTGATGGTTCTGCCTAGTATCCTTTTCTCCTGAGAGGATATGAGGTATAAAAAGCCTCCCAACCTGCTCTCAGAATGTTAGGAGTACAGTGGTGCCTCGCTTGACAATGTTAATTCATTCCAGCGAAATCGCTGTAGAGAGAGAACATCGTCAGTTAATTCATTCCAACGAAATTGCTGTAGAGAGAGAACATCATCAGACGAAATAAAAAAAACCCATTGAAATGCATTAAAACCCGGTTAATGTGTTCCAATAGGCTGAATACCTGCGCGTCCAGCAAAGATCCTCCATACGGCTACCATTTTCGGTGCCTGTATAGCAAGGAATCCATCCTAGAAAACAGCGGGGGGCCATTTTGAAGCCCGACGATCAGCTGTTTGCTGATCATTGTAAAGTGAAAAATCGGTTCCCGAAACACGGAACCGATCAACGTGAAGCGAAATTACCCCTTTTAAAACATCCTTTTGCGATTGCAAAACATCGACGTAATGCGGATTCATCGTAGAGCGGGGTAATCTGGTGAAGATCAAATCTTGCTACTTGGTTTAGGGGCATGTCAGTGTAATTTGATACTGTATTGACTTATATACCACCCCATTGTGCTAAAGTACTCTCTGGGCAGTTTACAGCATAATTATGCAAACAACAGTTTTGCCCCCCAGCAAGCTGGGTATTCGTTTTACGGACCTTGGGAGGCTGAGTCACCCTTGAGCCAGCTACTGAATCAAGATCAAGCTCAGGTTGTGATTAGAGGCTTGAGTGCCGTACTGCAGTTTAGCCACTGTGGCATGTGCACATGGGCTTTAGCTGTCGGTCAGGTGTGAGTTGTGGTGGAGCTCTACATGTGTTCTAGACTTGAAAACATGCTGACATTGATGTGCTGTAGTAATCAATGAATGATCTCACTCAGCAGGATGCCGTATCTTACCTTCATTTCTAGATTTAGTTTCATTGTCCTTAAAGAACTTGAAAATAAATTACCAGTATCTTACTGGGTTTCTACAGTGTAAACTCAAGTTCGTGAAACTGGCATGCACAATCATTCTGGTGTCTGTTGCATGTTTCGACATAATCAGGTCACATACTCACAGACAATCAGAAAATTAGCAAAACAACTTGCTTAGTTGCCTTTATATATGCAGTATTCACAATAGGATTCTGGCCATTTTCTGGTACATATTGTGCAGTATTTAGAAACTGTTCAAGGAAGTGGAAGTTGTTTCCCAAACGGATTCTATTGAGGATCCAACAGATCATAAGGAGATGAAAAGGAAAGCTTAAAAGATTGTGTGTCTGTGTATGCTTTGAGAAATTTCTCGTTTCGTTTTGTGATCATTTTTAATATCAAGAATGGAAACGTAACTGTATCTCTGTAAAGTGTGTCTTTTTAGAAATGACAGAATCTGAAATGAGGTGTCATGCAAGACAAGACTTAAACTGCAGAGTTTTGAAATAATACATAACTTTGGAACAAGCACAATGTTATTAGCTGTCAGCAGAACATTTTTTTAAAACAATACATGTGTGCTGTGACAAACTAATAATTGAATTACGACTAGACAGTGTCTTTTGGTTTCAGGTTGAAAGCCTCCACTAGATTGAAAAAAAGTTTTAGATAATATGTTTTAGTGCATCCTTCAATAATCACTGCAGAGTGATTGTATAGAGTGACTGTATAGGCACACTCATTTGCAAGCATTACAGGATGGTGTCATCAGACAGTCACTGCTATTTGTGATTGTACAGCTCAATTCTTCATTAAGGCTTTTAAAATCTACTATGGAATGTATAATAAAAGATGCTGTCACCACTGACAATGCTTCCGTAATCTTATCAAAGCTCTTGTCATCTTCACTAGAGATGGGGGTATTTGTATGCGAATATGAATACCCCCTCACAGGTGGACATAACGAGGGTCTGGCCCCCTGGGGCCCGACTGTCCACTCAGGCTGTGGTTCGTGCATTGGTCATCTCTAAAACAGACTACTGTTGCGCTGTCTACATAGGGCTGCCTTGAAGTCAGTGTGGAAATTTCAGCAAGTACAAAATTCAGCTGCCAGGCAGATATGGACAGTTTTGGCACACCATTTTCTCTGTGAACAGACTACTGTTGCGCTGTCTACATAGGGCTGCCTTGAAGTCAGTGTGGAAATTTCAGCAAGTACAAAATTCAGCTGCCAGGCAGATATGGACAGTCTTGGCACACCATCATTTTCTCTGTATTAGTTTCAGTCCCCAGTTCAAGGTGAATGGTCATGACCTGTAAAGCCCTTAACAGTTTAGGATGTTGATATCTGTCAGAATGTCTCTCCCACAAAATAGCTATCTGCTCCACTCATTGCTAAAAATTGTGACACTCAAGGAGGCCATAGGAACAAACACTAGGAATTTTGCATTCTCATTTGTGGCCTTTCCCTCTGAAATAAGCTGACAAAGGAGGTTCCTCAGGGACCATTCCTCTCAGTTTTTAATTAAAATGGAATTATATAAAGCTGCCTTTTACTAGTGTTTTAATTATTGATCTGAAATGTTCAGTTTTGTTTTAAATTTGTTTCATTATATTTAAGTACAGTGGTGCCTC